CACACACACACACACACCAGGGAACCAAAATAGACTGGATTGGAGGATGGCCTATTTATCGGTATAATCATTTGTGTGTGCCTTTGACATCTGGAATGTGACCATAAGCTTATAGCATCCGTTAAGAGGCTGAAGATTTACAGTGAGGGCAAGAAGGCGAGAGCTGTCATGTAAGGAGCTTGAGTTGGTTCATCATCTGCTTTGGTTCATCACGTTTCTGATTCGGACGGCAGACGTTTTGGAATAAATATACTCGCATCTTTACAAAACTCCCCGTAACAAACGTTCCGTGTGAAATGATTTCATCTTGGATTTCCTGCATCTGAGCCTGTTCTTGGCTTGAGTATTTACAGGTATAAAATCAAGTCAAGCCAGATGTATTAGCTTCATACAAAATGTTCATTTCCGTTTTTTATATCTGTAACAAAACTGTAACCTCCCAACCTCAAAGCTGTTTTATAAGGCACTGAGGCTAAACTGCTCAGGATTGTATTTTAGAGCTGCACTGATAAATGGTTCGTCCCCATTTTATTGACTATTATAAATTGCATAAATCTCTCCATCAATATATCTGGGGCAATAAACAGCAAGATATTTCCGTTGAAAAATGGGTAAAATATGTTCCTTTAGAAACCCTATCTTCAGTACACAATTTGACCACCAATTCTAATATTTATGCTACATTAAGGGGATAGTTTGACACTTTTTTGGTTTCTATAAAGGTAAAACCAAGAGACAGCTATCGTAGCTTAGCATAAAAAGCTTTCAGGTTATGTCTCGTTTGTTGAAACCACAATTATTAACAAAATCTTTCATCTAAAATCTTTTGAATATTATAAAGAAATGGAAACGGAGTCCCTTTTAGCAACACAAGTGCGATTTTATCCAACTTATTTTAGAGTGTCTTCACATCCTGCATTAGCATCAGGTACCATGCTCACAGTTGTAAAGAGCACGTTGATTAGCTGTAATTATGCTAAACAGACTATATGTTCCTGATTGCACCACTGTGTGTCTCCGCATGATATGGAGCTGAGAGTGAGCGCAGAACTCCGGCAGGGTTTATAATCCGCTGTGGTGGAGGTCCACTGTGCTCAGGACTCGGATAACGAGACATCAGCTACGCTCTCTGAGGTATACGATTATATCTGATTTCATTAGTATGCAACTGTTTGATTAGAGCAAGCACCTCCCATGTGACGATTTTATTCTTAACTTTAATGTGGCCCCTAAATTGGCTTTCAAAGTGGTTCTGAGTGCATTTGAAGTTCCTCTTCGTCTGCCGTCCTCCCCTTTGTTGCAAATGAAAGGCCTGTTCACACACACCTTGCTCCCTTCCTGTGTGTGTGTGTGTGTGCCCGCTCTTGCGTAACGCGTCGCCGCCTTTGCTTATGATGTTCAGATCAGACGCGTAAGAGATTACATCATCGTCTGGAGGGGTGCTGGTCTTTGTTGAATCTCCTGCGTTGGAAGGGCAGAGCTTTGCTGCAGCCTCTGAAGCACAAAGACAGCTCCTCTTAATCAGCCTTTCAAGGTTTTTTTCTTCTTCTGGTAAAATCTGTGATCTTTGACGTGAGCAGAGGAGGATATTAAGATGCTGTGCTAGAGAGGTAATGCAGAATGTCTTCCGGCTGATTCAAAAATCAAGCAAAGGAGAGCAGTGTTAAAAGGAGTAGTTTGGGAAGTATAGGCATTTTTGCTGTCTTGCCAGGAATTAGATGAGAAGATCAGTACCAGTTGCTAGGCAACCCTGTTTCCCCCCACCCGCTTCCAGTTGTTATGCTAAGCTAAGCTCACCAGTTGTAGCTTCACAAACAGACATAAGACACATGGTTTTAATCTTCTCATCTAACTCTCTGCAGTCTTGGACTGTGGTCGGACAAAATGAGCAAACTGAATATTTCACCTCTGGTTCTTCCTTAAAACTCACCAGACCTAAACCTCCAACGATGTAACAGGAGATGAACCAGGTATAGGCTCGACCCGGGAATATACAAGGGTCTCCTTAGAATAAAAGCTTCAGGAATACAAGCTGAGTTCAAGTTGAGGCCTTGAATCTAAAGGTCAACCTCTGTTTGATGATCGGGAGACGGGACGAGGAGCTGGACTGTCCTACACGCTGGTGCTGACATTTAGTCAAGCACAACTTGTTTTCTGTTAACATTTCAATCCTTTATGGATCATTGCTGCTGTTGTGATAAATAGTACTGGTTGAACTGAAAGGATGCGCTGTAAATGACCTACAAGTATTTATACAATATTCTAACAAAGTGTACAGTACACATGATAAGAAGGTGACTTCTGTTCTGAACCTGTTGCCCGCGTTCAGCTTTATTATGCCTTGCAATCCACTTTACTGCTGCCACACACACAAATGCTAAGAAGCTTCTTCTCCGCTTTAAAGAGTGAGCGTCACTCATTCTTCAGCTCTGGTGTACGTGTGTAACAGCGTTACTGTCACCCACACACAAAAGGAAATTAAAGTAGATATATTGATGCTCTTTTGTGACTTTTTCCCATATATTCAATGACTTAAATGTTCATCTCACCAAAGTATCACACACCACATTTGTTTACCTGGTCACTATGTCAATCCAGCGTCAATACATTTGACCACCAGTGGGAAAGCTGTCTGTAATAGCAGCTGATA